AGCCCGAAACGTCAGCCTTCCTGTTCCTCTGATGCTGCTTGGCCTGCTGTGTTCATCCAGCTCTACACCTTGTTATCTCTCATTTGATGTTAAACTGGTTTAAGGATCACAATCGTTTTGTGAAGGAAAAATTGGCAATTAAAGGTGAATTAATATTTATTAACATTTCTGGAAAAGGTGCAGAAGGTGAAAGATTTCTTTGTCTTCAACTGATTGGTTTCAAAATAAGAATTGTGAGATTTCTTAACAATTTCACAGTTTTTTATTCTTCTTTAGAGCTAGTTCACCAGTGAGTATGTTCATCAGCAAAATCTCCACTGCCTGTAGTTTTCATCCAACCAGCAATTGACAGGAATGCGTTTCCTCACTCTGGGAACTGATCGTTTGGTCATCTCTGTCTCTCTCTCTCTCTCCCCCCCCCCCCCCCCCCCCAATCTCTCTGTTTGTTTCTTTGTCTATTTCTCTCATCTCTCTTCTCGGCCTCTCTCTCTCTTTTGGTCTGTCTTCTCTCTTGGTGTCTCGGTCTCTGTCTGTCTCTCTCTCTAGCAGTGTCTGTCTGTCTATCTCTCTTCTCTCTTTTGATCAGACCTCATTGACAGTATTTTTATGACTCTGGCCACAACCAGCACCTTTATGTAATCAGCAACCCTGACTCTGATTGTGTGCCAGATACTGGGCACTTCACTATATTTGGGATTTTATATTGCTGGCCATTATACCACAGAAATTGGCTTCTATTTGAAGATAGTCTCCAGTGCAGCACCTTGTAACCTGGGTTTGCTTGAAAGTTATCAGTAGTATATTCAGAATAACTATTTGGTCAAGGATAGCGTTGAAGCTAATCTTTTACCAACTTGGACATTTATTTACGGTGTTACCTATTACAAGCATTTGCCTTCTAACTCAAACACAGCAACATTTCAACAAGTTTCTCTTTACATGTGCTCAACCTACATGTAAGTAAACATAATTAACCTGCAATTAACAATTTGGTCAAAGTTAGGTTCCAGACTCAGAGCAGCGTTTGCACTGAGAGCAGTTCAATCTCTTCATTGGTATCTTTCTGTACATTGCAGGAAAATATAACGTGGTTACCATAGCCATCGTGTCAAAATGTTCAGCAAACACTGTCTTGCATTGTTGAAATTTTCCAAGTCACAATTACTTTTTGAGTGCATTCATTCCAAATATAGGAACCATTCTCTATCCTCATGGTCACATAAACAACAACAGAATGGCAAATGAGACTTACTGTAATTATTCAGGCCTTTGGTGAGGCCACACCTAGAATATTGAGTGCAGTTTCTTTCTCCTTATCTGAGCAAGGATGTTCTTGTGATAGAGGGAGTGCAGTGAAGGTTTACCAGACTGATTCCTGGGATGGCAAGACTGACGTATGAGGAGAGATTGAGTTGGTGAGCACTCTATTCACTGAAGTTTAGAAGAATGAGGGAGGATCTCGTGGAAACTTATAAAATTCCAACAGGAGTAGGTGCAGGAAGGAGGTTCCTGATGGTGGGGGAGTCCAGAACCAAGGGTCGTAGTTTAAGGAAAAAGGGTAAAACACTTTGGACTGAGATGGGAAATTTATTCACCCAGAGAGTGGTGAGCCTATGGAATACACTACCACAGGAAGTAGTTGAGGCTAAAACATTGCGTTATGAACAAGGTGGATGTAGCTGGAAAAGCACAGCAGGTTAGAAAGCATCTGAGGAGCAGGAAAGTCAATGTTTCAGACTGAAACCCTTCCCGAAACATTGACTTTCCTGCTCCTCGGATCCTGTCTGACCTGCTGTGCTTTTCCAGCTCCACACTTATTGGCTGTGGCTTCCAGCATCTGCAATCCTTACTGTCTTCAAGTCTTGAGGTGGATATAGCTCTTGTCCTTAAAGGGATCAAGGGATATGAGGGAGGAGGACGGGATTAGATTATTGAGTTTGACGATCAGCCATGATTATAATAAATGTCGCAGCAGGCTCAAGGGTCGAATAGCTTCCTCCTGCTCCTACCTTCTATGTTTCTATGAAGCAGCCTGCTTTTCAGTGGTGATGAACAGGAGGAATATTGGCAGGACAAAATGCTCTTTGAATGATACCCCTGGACTTTTTAACACTAACCAGAATTTAATTTAATTGCCCCGCTCTAGGACCCCTTTTTTGTGAAAGTGTAGGGTTCCTTTGACACTGCATGGTTATACAGGGTGGCATGGATCTCTCAGCACCAGGGACCCGGGTTCCAATCCACCCTCGGGTGACTGTGTGGAGTTTGTACGTTCTCCCCATGTCTGCGTGGGATTCCTCCGGGTACACCCATTTCCTCCAACTGTCCAAAGATGTGTAGGTTGGGTGAATTGGCCATGGGAAATGCAGGGATACAAGGATAGGGTAGGGGGGTGAACCTGGGTGGGATGCTCTTCCGAGAGTTGGTGTGGACTTTTTGGGCCGAATGGCCTGTTTCCACACTGTAGGGATTCTATGATACCAGCCTAGATTGTGTACTCAGCCCCTGAAACTATGGTACTGTTAATGCAGTGTTACCAGTAGGTTTTAATTTACTTTCTGGGTGACGAGAGGTTTGCGATTGATTAGCAGTCTGCGTTGAGGTTTCCTGAAGGGTATTAGTGAAGTGGTTGGATTTTTACAATAATTCAAGCGTTTCATGGTTATTTTAATGGGGTCAGATTAGTTGAATTAAATCTGTGACTCGCTCTGGTAGCACCTGAAACTAGACAGCTGTCAGGCCTTGCTGAGTTTCCCCCAGCAACTTCTGATTTCCAGCATCCGTAGTTCATTGCATGTGCGTGTGTGTGTGTGCGTGTGCGTGCGTGGTTGGTTCTTTGTTCTGTTGAGCTGCCGGTTCTTTATCGGCAGCGTTGAGTTTGGCTGAGACACTGATCGCTGTTTTCTTTCTCTGTCTCTTCAGCTTACGGTCATTTTCAAGAACTTTCAGGAGTGCGTTGATCAGAAAGTCTACCAAGCAGAGACCGACGACCTCCCGGCTGCCTTTGTTGATGGCTCGCGAAATGGCGGTGAGAAGCATGGTGCCAACAGCTTGAGGGTGCTGGAGAAAGTTGCCGGGCAGCACATTGAGATCCAGGCCAAGTACATTGGCACCACCATCGTCGTTCGGCAGCTGGGCCACTACTTGACATTTGCCATCCGGATGCCCGAGGAGGTGGCTAACTCCTTTGAGGATAACCAGGGCCTCCAGCTGTGCCTGAAGGGTTGCCCGACCAACGAGCAGATGGACTGGCGGCTCCCTCAGCCACGGAAAGGAGCGCCCGCGGCCCCCCAAGGAGCCTTCACTCGTGAAACAGCCACCACCAAGTGCAGAGAGAAATTGCCAGTGGACGACCTGTACTTCCGATCGTGCGTTTTTGACCTCCTGACCACCGGGGATGTGAACTTCACGCTCGCGGCGTACTACGCCTTCGAAGACGTCAAGAGCTTGCACTCAAACAAAGACAAGCTGCACATATACCAGAGGACAGCTGACCACCCAGAGGGGAACTCTGCCCCTGGGAGACCCAGTCTCCCAACTCTTCCCATTGCACACTTGCTGCCAGTCTGCTGCCTTTGGTACTGCCTGGCACAGCTATAGCCACGTTGATGTGTGACTTTATCAAGCAGGTGGTCTTGTTTTCGGTTTGAACCGCTGGTAACTACCTATCTTGTACCTCGCTTGCGCTTGTCTGTAAATTATTTCGGTTTCTAATTTTCTTTTTCTGCCTCCCCACCTCCAGACACGCATTTTTTCCACTGGCGCTGCCTGGTGATAGATGGATGTCACTGGTGCCATCCTGTCGATGTTTGTGGTTGTGTGTTTGTAGAGGATTTGGAATAGCGCAGGCATGCGATGTCAGTCTGAACCAGGAGCCTGGCTGGGAATCACCTTACCCACTTACCCGAACTGAGAGCCGTACGTCCTGAAGCTCTTTAGCACTTGTTGCTATTTCACTTGTCTCCACCCAAATACCCCTCCGAATCAAAGTGATGACCCTAACCCCTTCACAGGGGAGGCATGGGCAAACGGTGAAGATTCTCACTTAGTGGGGAATATTGGATTCAGTAAAGGCTGTAGAGTTCCAGCCTCCTGCGGTACCTACCCACCGGCTTTCAGGATCTGTGCTGTCACACGGCTCATTCCTCCCGCTGATCTCTCTGATTCGCCCTTCTCTCTAAGCCTGGTGAATGTTGACAGGCTATTCGCACACGGCAGCATCACTGTGGTCTAGGCCCAGTCCTTCCTGAGCTCTACTGAGGCTAACCAGCTTGAACTGCAGAGCAGTAGAGATGCTGCAATCACGTGTGTATAAGGCCTTGGCACATCATGGAACCCATCTTCCTACTTGACCAGGACTGTTTGTGCAGTTTGACTCAGCTTCTTGTACTTTGACATGGAGTTTCATACTTGCTTGTGCCTATTAAGTAACACCTGATGCCCACCTGTTGCACTGGTGCCAACTTTACCAGGCTTGCCCACCCGTGGCTTTGGTTCAGCACAGCCGTGATCCCTTGTGTAGAAGTTTGGAACATGTGTTCCTTTCTGGAGAGAAGTTTGTCTGAGTGCAGACAGCAGCAATGGGGCGGGGGGAACGTGGGGCAGAGGGCCCTGTGATTAGATTAATTTTCCAACACTGGGGGATCCGACCCTTAGAAAACTACATGTCCAAGGCAATCAGATGAGTTTAAGATAGGAACCAGATTTTATAGCTATGTTTAATAATAAGTTACACAGTTTGTTTTTTTGTAAAACATTCGCTTTATTATTTATACTGAGTGTTACACTCTGGGGGTGGTGTAACAGTAACAATAAAGGGTGGGGGGTATTAAATAAGGGAAGGAGCTGAATCAGAATAGTGTTAGAGGAAGAGATGGCACATTCCAACAGTAGCAGTGCCCATATCCCTCTAAAATCCTCGAGGGTTGTGGTAGATAGCCAGTGCTCCCTTTTCAAGGGCACCTGGCCACAAACATAGCCGCGGAAGAGGTGCAGGCAGTTAGGAATGACACCCCTTCCCATACTCCATCCCATCCATGTGCCTGGACCCCATTTCTGGCTGCTTTAGCTGGGCCTGTGATGAGGTCCTCTCACCCGGTCTCTGCACTAGGTGAGTTAACCCTGCTGTGTAACCCCTCAATGTTGGACATACCTGGAGGTTGTAGTCTGAGAAGTGTTTGAAGCAAAATGAAGAGTTTAAAAAAAAACTGCAAGCTATTTCTTGAACACCTCCCCCACCCTGTTTGGTTTATAAGATCCCGTCTCCAGCAAGAAATATTGCCATGAACATGCTGCAGCTACTGTTCCTGCTGAACGAGAACTGGGCAGACAATGTCTACTAGGCACGGCTTCCCCCCACTCCCCCTCAGAAAGGGGACAGGGTGAAGCGAATTCTCCATATAGCAGCTGAATAGTATTGGAGCCAAAACCAGGGAGAGAAATTGAGTTTGGAAGCAAGATTGTTAACTAGAGGCTGGGACTCGAAAGCAGGATAGCTCCTATCTCAGTATGGAATTGCTGAAGAATTTCTGTTCTTGCCTTGCACGTTTTCGGTTTCTTAAGTCGAGACCCCTGCCTCTTCCCACTCCCACTCCAACTTTGTTGCCCGTCTTTGGTAACCTTCACACTTTGGGTCTGGGGATCTCTGAAGAGCACCAGCAGCTTCCTCACCGGGGTTGGTTTCCCCTTCAAAGCTGAGGACGGAGTATGAGTGGAAGTAGGTTGTTTTTCTTGTATCCCAATCCTGCACCCACTTACCCTCTTCCCAACGGCGCAGTTTGAGCAGAGACCAGCAGGTGGTGATCAGGAGCAGGAGTCTCAGAACAGTGTTGGAGCCCTCTGTTGTTCCCACTTCAGGAGAGAGGAGAGCTAATTGCATCTGCTTTATCAATGTGTAAATTTACAGGTCAATTAGGAAAGAGATACGTAAAATAATGAGACAGAACAGAACAACAGGCTTCAAGATCCAGTGACGACAATTCAATGCTGTAATTACCCAGACACCGATGAAAATGATCCGTGCCCTGTGGCCTGAAGGCACTTTATCTCGATGACAGCCGTGTGTACTGTGCGATTGTGGAGCTCACTGCATGGCATGGTGTTGCTGCGACAGTGTAAATACAGTGTTGTATATTGTTGGGTGTAATTTATCTTTGCTGAGATAATATATAGAGACCCATGGTGAACATTTGTGACTGTACATATGGAGTAATGTAATATTTCGTTAAATATTAATGTGTAAAATGTTAACTCTAGCAGCTCTGTTTACCTGTTAATGTGCTTTGGTTGTGTTAGGTTGACAGAAGAAGGACTTGTGAAAGCAGACCCTTTAAGATTTCTTTAGAATGAAGGGGGCCTTGTTGGCATCATTGAGCGGGGAGAGCGTTGGTGGGTAGCAGTCTTTACATCACCAACATACTGCTCTGTTTGCAAAGTTAAACATGAACTAGGGCCTTTTCTATTTTGCCTGCCTGAATACCCCACCTCATTCTCCTCTCGCTTGCCCTGGTTGCCAACAGAGCCCCTTCTGAGAGATTTTTAGGAATGGCACTTTATCTTAGTTACAATGTGACGTGGTTCTTCTTTGTTTGAACTGTTGAGACTATGGGACAGGAGGTATTACAGTGCCCAGGGAACACATGGCCGTGATGGTGCGGTGTTTCCACAGTCAAATTGCTTTTTTGGAAAATGAAAAGAACAACTCCATTCTTTCCAATATGTAGAAATTTTCAGCAAGATCTCTTTGTGTACATAATGTAAATTATTTATTACTGAAAAATCTTTGAGTAAAAGTTTTGAGTAAGAATTTTAACAGTTGAGCATGTTGGCTGTAGTTTTGTGCTCGTGTTCAGGGATCTTGGTGCTAAGTGGTACAATGCCTTTTACATTTTTCAACATCATGTGTACTCAGCACAGGTACAACATAGTTCAGATGCAGCATCAAGCTCCTTAGACAATGCTCTGTGAAACACTCCCCCATTGAAATGCAGAATAGTTTAGCCACAGAGTAAATCATCTCAGCCATGATTTTATCAAATGACAGAGCAGGCTGAAGGAGCCAAATGGCCTACTCCTGCTCCTAATTTTTATGTGGAATAGCAACGCTGCCTCAGCAGGTTGGTTTACAATGCATGTCTCTGTGCTGTGCTCCGATAACGTTTCCCAGATCCCTGAGCAGCTTCACTTTCCCATAGCCACACAATGATTACCAGTTATCCCAATAACTGATTAGAGATAATCCAAACTTGGCTATATTTGCCATCAAACTACCTGCTAGCAGTGGTGCAAGAGCTGGAATCTCCAGGTCCTAACACAACCTCCTCGACCTCCAAAACGCTCCTGCCTAACAGACAGCAAGGTTGTTTCTATAGAGTAATAAGAACAGGAGTTGGCCATTCAGCCCCTCAAGCCTGTTCCAGTGAGATCATGGCTAATCTAATTGCTTAACAAAAATGTATCAATCTCAGATTTAAAATGAACAATTGATCCAACATCTTAAATCCATGCCTCCTAATTATTGGTCTCCCTAATAAGGGGAAATGTTTTCTTCATCTACACTCCTCAGCACTTTGTATATCTCAGTCAAGCCCATCATCATTCTCTGCTCCAAGGAAAACAACCCCAGCTGAATCGCTCCAACTCCGGCAACATCCTGGTGAAGAAAAACAGCAAATGCTGGAAAAGCTCAACAAGCTTGGCATCATCTGTGGAGAGAAAGCAGAGTTAATGTTTTCAGGTCCCGTGACCCTTTATCAAAACTATTCTAAAGCAGGACCCAAAATGTTAACTCTACTTTCACTCCATAGATGCTGCCAGGCCTGAGTTTTTCCAGCAATTTTTGTTTTTGTTTCTAACATTCTGGTGACTCTCCTCTGCATCCCCTCCATTGCAATCCCATCCTTCCTAGTGTGGTGACTAGAACCGCATATTCCAGCCGTGGCCTAACATACTGTACAACCATATCCATGTGTCAACCAGCACCTTCAACCCATCTGCCTCACACTACTCTCTGCATTAAAATAAATGCCATCCAACATTGTTAAGCTTCCTGGAGTCTTATCTTGATGAAATACATTCTGCCTGCCAGACTGGCTTGGAATTTCTTCCACAGTTGCCTGTGTGTTGCCCATAATTTACTTGCACTCTGTGTCCCACTCCCCTGATAAATTAGTCAATAGCACACCAACAGCTCTGCTCTCTCAAATACGCCTGCAAGGTGTGGACCCTGTTACAGTATAGGAGCAACCCTCAGAACTGGACCCAGTGACTCAGAAACCTCACACCTTCCCTGCTGCACCAACTCTTCAGCCACATATTAATCCACTCTACCTGCTGCTAATAGATATTTCCTAAGTAACCTGTTCAGAGATGTTATGACACACTTCTGGAGCAGGCCTCCTGGTTCAGAGGTGGGGACACTAACAAAGGCTGCAAGAACGTCCAGAATAAACATGTTTAATCAACCTATTCAGCGACAGTATTACACACTTCTGGAGCAGGTGGGAGTTGAGAGGTAGGGACACTATCACTGCACCATAAGAACCCCTATCTGCCAGTCATCATTCATTAACGACAGAGATGAGGAAAACATTTTTCTTGCAGAGGATTGAGTGTGTTTAAAATTCCTTTCCTCAAAAGGCAGTGGATGCAGTATCTTCAAATATTTTTAAGGCAGAGGTGGATAGATTACCAAGGGATAGACAGGAATGTAGAATTGAGGTTAAAAATCAGGTGAGCCATGAGCTCATTAAATGGTGGAACACACTTGAAGGGCTGAGTGGTCTTTTCTTGTTCCTATGTCTATTACTATACTTGCTGGCACATAGCACTGGGAGTAATCCAGACATTGTATCCCTTGAATTCCTTCCTTGCAATCTGCTACCTATCTCCCTATATTCTGGTTGCAGGACCTCATACCTCTTTTGATCAATGTTGTCGGTAGCTGTGTGAATCATGACCTCTGACTGTTTACCCATCCCCTTCAGGATGCCCTGCTGCTGCTCAGTGACATCCTTGATCCTGGCCCTAGGAAGGGAACATGCCATTCTGGAATCAAGTCTGTGGTTGCAGAAACTATTGTCTGTACCCCTCATGATGGAATGTCCTGCCACTATAGATCTTCTCTGTCTGCTTCTCCCTACCTTGTGAACTGGGCTTTGACTTCCCTCCTCAGAGCAGTCATCACTCTCACTGTTTTCTAACACAGAAAGTTGTCCTTTAGTGAGATGCACCCTGAGGCTTTCCTAACTGACTGCCTGCCTCCCTTCTTTTCACTGATGGGAACTTCCTTAAGCTGGGGGTGCTCGTGAATGAAAATATACAATGCTAGCTCCGCTCAGCCTCACAGATGCTCTGTTGTGCTTCCAGCTGACAATTAAATTCCAAATGGCCTAGCAGTATTATCGCTAAACTATTAATCTAGAAAGTCAGCCAATGTTCTGGGGACCTGGATTCAAATCCTATTACAACATAAGACCAACTGGAATTAAAATCTACTGATTTTCTTTGTCAGGAAGAACTCATCTGGTTCACTAATATCCTCTAGGGAAGAAGTCTGCCATCCTTACCAGGTCTGGTGTGACCTACATGTGGCTCCAGACCTACAGCAATTGCATCTGATTTACAACTGCCCTCCAGGCAATTAGGGATGGTCAATAAATGTTGGCCTAGCCAGCACCACCCACATTCTGTGAATCAATAAAAAGACAAATCTAGTGCACAAGTGGTGACTCTAGCTGCAGATTTGCTCATCCAAACTGACTGGAGGTCTAAGATTTCCTCCATGTAGCAGGTTGTGGAACTCACCACTGGACTCTGCTGCCATAACTTTAGCTTTAAAAATACTCTAAAATTGAGCCATGTGGAAAACTAATGTTCTTTTGAACAGATTTTTTTTTATTCATTTACGGGATGAGGGACATCGCTGGCCAGGCAGCATTTATTGCCCATCCCTAATTGCCCAGAGGGCAGTTAAGCGTCAACCACATTGCTGTGGGTCTGGAGTCACATGTAGGCCAGACCAGGTAAGGATGGCAGTTTCCTTCCCTAAAGGACATTAGTGAACCAGATGGGTTTTTCCAACAATTGACAATGGATTCACGGTCATTAGGTTCTTAATTCCAGATATTTATTGAATTCAAATTCCACCATCTGCCATGGTGGATTCGAACCCAGGTCCCCAGAATGTTATCTGGGTCTCCCAGATGTTACAATTCTTAACTTTCCTTAATGTAGCTTAATATACAGGACAAAAATATCTCATCCACTACCCACCAATCAGCTCACTGCTTTGCGCTAATGATACTTTTGAGAGCCTTTTGGAATTCTGGTGGGATTCTTATTGTCCTGCGTTTAAGGGGTCATAGTTGATGAAATTTACAGTATTTAATGCCTTAAATGGAATGAAACATCCTAATTCACCTCAGAAATAGGTGCAAAGAAAACAAAGACCAGGCCAGGGGTCATCAGATGCCGTGAATGTTTAGTCCCCCCAAACAGGACTGTTCTTCAAAAGACTTGCAAGGTCGAGAGGGAAGTCAAAAGTTTGACAAGAACATGCGAGACAGTAGATCTAAAGGTGGCTGAAGCATCTCAGCAATGGGACTGGGAAGAGCAGGAGAGATTGGATAAAGGTAGGATTGGGAAGAGAGCATTCAGGAAGGGAGGTAAGGTGGGAGAATTCTGCACAGAACAGTAGGACAAGATGAGGAAAATATCAGATGCTCCAATCACAACTTTCACAAGTGTTGCTTTAAGCCTGTAAGAATGGGGTGTTAGATGAGCAGTACAGGATAAAAGCACAGGACAGGTTGGAGTTTATAGAACATGGAGTGAGGGAGGTTGATGAGGAGAGCTCAAGTTTGGAAAGGACAAAAGAGAGCACAAAGCTCTCACCAACATTGGGATTCTGGAGAGAAATGAGTGGAAATAAATGATTCAGTAAAAGAACATAGGATTGAAGCTCAAGTTTGTGTGAAACTAGTTTGTTAGCCGAGACATTGATTGGGAGAGGGGTATTGGTACCTTCCCTGTATTGCAATGGCTCTACAACTGACATTTTCACCCTGGATATGTTCAACTTCTCAACACCTCACCATCTTAAAGTGAAGGAGGATACACCAGCAATGACAAACCATTCAGCAGGACCAAGGACATTAAAGGTGGAGATAGGGGAGCTGTTAAGCAGGTCAGCAGGGAAACAAGCATGAAGGCAACCAGAATTAGGAATTTAAGAGTCAGGTTGTGAAATAAATGAGAAACTTGTTTTGAACAGACGAATAGTGGGAAACAGAGTCAAGTAGCACTGTCTCAAACAAAACTGCTTAGTAGAATGGAGAATGACTCCAAAACATTGCGCAATTGTGAGGGTCTTACAATCTTGTTAAAACCCTATCTATATAAACAATGCTAATTCTTCACTTACAGAGAATTTAGTCATGGAACTCGCTCAGATGATCTGCCACATACTGCCTTGATCGCTCAAGTTTTGAGCACCTGATCTGTTACCGTGAATTCTTGGGATTGTGTTCCAGGACCAATTTGAGAAACCTTTTCACTTCCTTGCAGACACAGTTAACTTTATTAAGCCCGCACTACCCAAAATTTCCTGCACCAAGCAAACACTGCTAATTGGCTTCCTACACCCCTATTCTCAGCTGCACTAAATTATTAATGGCTCTTCTTTCTTTTTGAGCAGTGAAGGCTCTAGATGGCTTTAGGGGCTTTTGTTGAGTTCCAATGACAAGACTTGGGTGCATTTTGGATTACTGCGTTCAATTCTGGTCTCTTTGCTATAGGAAAGATGTTGTGAAACTTGAAAGCATTCAGAAAAGTTTTACAAGGATGTTGCCAGGGTTGGAGGGTTTGAGCTATTGAGCTATTGGGAGAGGCTGAATAGGCTGGGACTATTTTCCCTAGAGTGTCAGAGGCTTATAAAATCATGAGAGGCATGGATAGGCTGAATAGCCAAGGTCTTTTCTCAGGGTAGAGGAGTCCAAAATTAGAGGGAGAGAGAGGAAAGATTTAAAAAAAAGACCTAAGGGGCAACTTTTTCACGCAGAGGGTGGTGTGTGTATGGAATGAGCTGCCAGAGGTGGTGTTGGAGTTTGGTACAATTAAAACATTTAAAAGGCATCAGGATGGGTATCTGAATAGGAAGGATTTAGAGGGATATGTGCCAAATGCTGGCATATGGGACTAGATTAATTTAGGATATCTGGTCGGCATGGACAAGTTGGATCGAAGGCTCTGTTTCCATGCTATACATCTCTATGACTCTATGACTAATGGTAACATTTTGCCAGAGAATCGATCAATTCCACCAGCACATGACCACAGGCATTCTGTGGGATTTTGCACCAGGATCTACTTTGATTAGATAGCTATTTTCAGCTCAGTATTCTCTACAGGGAATCAGGAAGCCTCAGGAACAGTTGAACTGCCACCTTGATCAATCAGACTGGAAAATGAGATAGAGACAGATGCAGGAAATATCAATTAGAATGTTTAATGTTAAAATATGTGGAGAAAGTGAACAGGATATGAACCTGACAGAGAAATAAAGAGAAAAGCATTTTTTAAAATTGCCAATTATTGAAGAATGAGACTCCACATCTGTTTAAAAAAAAAATGCCAAAGAGGTTGTTTGGAAGTAATTAAGACTTATCATACTGTTGA